TTCTACTCTATTCTCAAGAATGTTGAAAATGTTATTGGACAATTTAAATAGTATGGGTGTGCTACCACACGCCTTTAATCCCAGCAGAGGCAGGTGGATCTCTGTGAGTGTGAAGCCAGCCTGGTCTACATAAGAGTTCCAGACCAGCCAGATTTGGATAGTGAGGTCCCTGTCTCACAAGTAAATAAGTAAGAATATAGAACCAACAGTACTCCATAGCTACTGTGTTTATTATTTTTCATTAACATCCCCAGGGTATCAGTAAGGCTCATGGCTCATTTTTGCTGTCCATTCTCAGAGTCCTTATCTCTTAGTATCTATTCAAGGACCACCGCCTTTCTGCTACTCCCCAGGGAAGTCACATTCCACCCTTAGCACATGCTGTCCCTCCTACCCCATCTCTTTCCCTCACCCTCCAGTCCCCTTTCAGACCTCAACCCAATCTCTTACTAGTTCATCTAAGACCAGCCCTTTCTAAGCAAAGGTACAATACTAAATTTTTGTTATTTTCCTTCACCATTGAATCCCTCATTCTTAGCCCAGGGCCTGGCCTAGAGAGAGGAAATGACTAGTAAGTATTTTGTTTGTTTGTTTTTTTAAGACAGGGTTTCTCCGTGTGTAGCCCTGACTGTCCTGGAACTCACGCTGTAGATCAGGCTGGCCTCAAACTCAAGAGATCTGCCTGCTGCTGCCTCCTGAGTGCTGGGATTAAAGGTGTGAGTATTTACTGGACAATCAAGTGAGTGAATAATTTGTTGGCTAGTAGGCTCCTTCTACGTCTGCCACCAGGCCTCACTGAAGAGACTGGCCTCGCAGCACTCGACAACAAAACCCCACGCTCGGCGCCTGATAACAAAACCCCACGCCCCCTACCAGTCGTCGCCCACGTTGAAGGCATTAAGGCTCTTGGTGAAACCCTGCATGTTGGTGGGGCTGACTCTCTGCAGGAAGTCGATGTAGTCCTCAGAATGGAAGCGGCACATGTCGTGCTGGGAGGCCTGGTAAGGCTTGAAGACCTGGGGAATGGAGACAAGAGTGAAGCTGTTACCTTAAGCACTGATGGCACTAGCGAATTTCTGTACTTTCTTACCTTTGAAGGCAGGGGACCTAAAGGCCAGAAGTTCCTCTCAGGGAGGCTAGCCAAGATGGGTCAGCCCAAGAGGGACCAGAGGGACCAACTAGACAAGCCCTCACTTAATTACAATCCCACCAAGACACTGAATGATACTCCCAGTAGGTGACAATTGCCATGGAAACAACTGGAAAGCAAAAAAAAGAGAGAGAAAAGAGTGCCTGAATTCCCAGAAATTTTCTGCCCAGTCTCAGGAGAGAAAAAAAGAATATTCCTTTTCTTTATCGGTCTATTTCTCTTACCTCATTTATCTACAAATTCTTTTTTAATTAAAATTTTAATTGTGTGTGTGTGTGTGTTGACAGGAGAGAATTGACATCTAAGTTATCCCTGACTTCACTGTGGGTTTCAGAGTTCAGACTAAGGTCACCAGGCTTGGAGGCAGGCACCTTGACCCACTGAATCATCACTCCAATCCCTATACCTGTAACCTCTTGATTCCTAAGAGTTGGAAGGAGGGCAGGGGAGACCCAGTTTGGACACAAAACCTGACACTGCCATGCCAGTCCCTGGCTGAGACCACTTACACTGAACCCTGCCTTGGAGACTATCCAAAAAATGTGTAACAATTTCCCTACCCCCCTATCCCTCAGTGAAGAAGAGATGCTATTAGCTAGGCAAGCTACTTTTATCAAGACCCTTGAAGATCATTTCGTTTAATTCATCCCTTCAGTCCAGTCTCTCCTACCTTCCCAGCCCACTTCTCCTGGCCCACATGCCTGTTCCTAGCTTTCCCAGTCCTGGTTCCCTCTATATTTATCTCCTCTCTTAAACTCTGGTTCCGGTCTCTTCTCTGGGTTTTTCACCATGGGATCAAATCCATGAGATACATGACAATCTAACTGTAATCCAAACTTCTAAACCAAAGATTTATTATCTTGGGGGGGGTGAGTGTTGGGGGGGTTGGAAGTTCAAACAATGGTTTGAAAATTGGGCAAGAAACATTTTTTTATCTCCTAGAAATGGATAAAAGGACACACAATTTTAGGGGATTCACAGACTTACACTAATACCATCTCAGTCTACTGTACACCCAAACCACTGCTTGTGCCTAAGCACACTGATTACATGTTGAACATCTTCCTGGTTCATCAGGGCCAGGCTTGCTACTTCCCATTTCACAGCTAGAAATTCCAAGCTGGGGTGAAACAGTACCTGTATAACATGGGAGACGGGAGAGTTGAGCAGAATCATATAGATACATTCTATATTTAAAAGTAAATTCCTGCCAGGCAGTGATGGTACACACCTTTAATCCCAGCACTGGGGGGCAGAGGCAAGTGAGTCTGAGTTCAGAGACCAGCCTGTCTACAGAGTGAGTTCCAGGACAGCCAGGGCTACAGAGAAACCCTGTCTCAAAACAATAACAACAAAAGGTAAATTCCCATAGTCTCTACACATACACATCACAAAGGAGTGCAGAGTTGTCCTCGCTCCTTTCAGGTAAATGGACAGAGGACGGTGCAACTATGGGTAGAATTTCATTAGAAAATAGACCCTCATCCTCTATCCTCTATCCTCTATCCTCATCCTACACCATTATCCACTCTACAAGGAAGAAGAGCTAGAGGTGCCCTTCAGTGGCAAAACCCTCACTTAATGTGTGAAACCCTGGATTCTATCCACTAACACTTAAATAAAATTATAGGGAAAAGGGTCCAGCCAAAGAAACACACCCTGAGCAGAGCCAAAGGAACACACTTTGGCCCTGCAACCAGAACCAAAGAAATGTACCCTGACCCTGAAACCAGTGCCAAAGGAACACACTTTGTCCCTGGAATCTGAGTCAGTGAAAGAAATGCACCCTGGCCCTAAAATTGGAGCCAAAAGGACCAGAGAAACACACTTTAGCCCTGAAACCAGAGCCAAATCTGACCCTAATCCTGTACAGAAAACTAACCAATCCTTGAGCAGGAACTCTAGCCAATCTGAGCTCAGCACTAAAATCTGACCAATCCCCATCCTGGAAGCCCTATATAAACCCTATGTTTGTTCAGCTTGTGGCTATTCCTGCTACAGGCTGGCAGTGGCAGAGGGCAGCCACTCTCCTGGATCCTTCCCTCCCAATAAACCCCTTCAATAAGATTTGGGTGAAGATCTTCTTCTGCGGCGGCGGCGGAGCAGAGGTGACCCTGGGCAGAGCAGAGCAAGCAGGGCTGTAACACTTTTTCCAGGGAAACCTTCCCTTGGCAGAGAGTAGTTGTTTCACTCCCAGGAGCAGAGCTGAACTGTAGCAACTTCGCCCAGGAAACCTCCTGCCAAGCAAAACTGCTACACTGGGTGAACATCCCCAGTTGGGAGACCCTGTCGTGCCGGGCACCGGAGAAGCCTTTATCTGAGGCAAGGCTGTAAGCTGCCAAGCTTACTGCAACCTGTGATAGCCCTTGGCACCCGAGCTCCAGGATACCTTTCCACCTGAGCTGTGTAACACTCAGTATTCTGTGACTCCCGAGCTCCAGGATACCTGTCCCGATCCGTCCTATATGCCTACAAAAATGAGGTGAAGGAACAAACCTGTCTTCATAGTGTCTCCCTAACCCTAGGCCAGAGGCTGGTCTGCCCTCAAGTTAAAAGAGTCCCACCTAAGGCCAAAAATGTATGTCCCGTTAAGTAGGGGGACACCCCCCCCCAGCACCACCACCGCCGTCGCCTCACAGGGAATGCTCACGGTGCCTTCTATCCTGCTCGCCCACCTCTAGGGGTAGCTTGCACCTGGTTATGTCCAGCCCACCTATCCTAAGGCCGCAGTTTGCTCCCAGGCCCAAACCCCCACGGAAGTGTCAGGACTCACGATCATCTTCTTATAGAGACCATAATGCAAGACTAGGCTATGAGTCAACGCCAGGCGATGGGGCTTCATCGGGTGCCCAGCTCCTGGGGATAGGGAAGGAAAGAGTCGGTCAGTTCCCATCCCTAGAGTCGCAGCCCTTCCCGCGAAACCTCTCCTCCCGCACAACTCTGTGCCCTACCGTAGTGGAAGTTGCCCACATCGGGGTCGTAGAAATACGCCACGGTCTTGGCCATGATGTTGGGGGTCCAGGCCCCGAGCCTCAGCCGCCCGACCGCCGCCGCCGCCGCCAGCCGCCAGCCCCACCCCCGCCGTGCGTGCTGCGCAAGCACGCAGCCTACCACTGCGGAAGAGAGACCTCGGCCCCGCCTCCCAAGAGCGCATCCAGACCACGCCCCCTCACGGGAGAGTCCCGCCCCCTCGCTCTACTGTCCAGGTCGGGAGTCTGAGGTTGAAGGCTCCGTGCTTGGGCGGGGACCGCGACATCCTTCCTAGGATACAAGGGCCGTTTCTTTCTGTGCGAGGGTTGTAGCCTCGGGAAACCGAGTCATCCCGTCCGCCCAGTAGCCCCAGACGGGTCCTGGGGCAGTGGTCCCTCCCTAGGAGCCCCAGAGGATCTGGCCACTCTGGCCCCGTCCGGTGGAGAAAGGCAGATTTTCTCGGGGCGCTGGGAAGACGGCTGGGTTCCCACTCATCCGGGGCATCTGAGGGCAGGCCCCGGACCAGACGCGGCCAGGGCCCCTCCTGACCTCCCGACCACCCACGAGGACCCAGACTCCCACCGTCGCACGCGCCTCCGAGGGCGGGGGCAGCGCCGTCACGTGCGCGCCCCCCTGGCGTCCCCGCTCGCCGAAGGCTCGCGCTCCCCGCCCCGCACACCTGGGCTCCGCCCCTTGGTCCCGGGCCCGCGACGCGAGAGGCATTTGGGAACCCAGGGCCGTTTCAGAGGCGCCCCCCGTCCCCTCCGTTTCCCGGGCAGCAGTGGCCCGCAGCCTGCCGCGGCTCCCAGCCGGCCCGCATCCTCCGCCATCCTTCCCTCCCCCGGTCCGCCGCGGCACCGGTGTCCGCAGCCACCGGCCCGGAGCCGGTGAGGCGGCAAAGGGGGGAGGGGGAGGGGGAGGAAGCAAGGGATGAGCTCCGGGAGGGCGTCGGGGGCCCTGAGCCGGACGAGGACGCCCCTGGAACCGGGACCCGAGCCGGAGCCGGAGACAGAACCAAACCACCGGTACCGCGGGGGGGGCAGGTGGTCAGGGTGGGAGGGACGAAAAAGAAGGGACCCGGGAATGCAAGGACGGGAGGGGGCTGTGCGAGGCCTGTCTCAGGCCGGTGTGGAGGAGATGTCTCTGAGCTCGCTGTTTGAGAATTTCGTCCCGTCTGGTGCTGCAGTGTCCTTGGAAGGGACCGGGGCGCGGGACGAGCTGTCAGGGATAGCGATCTGGATGTCAGAAAAGTGGGACTGGGTCGTGGCAGAGGGTTCTCGAAGTTGCCGCCTGGCCTCCAGCCTGCGGCGGTCTTGGCAGACCAGCACCCTCTGTCTGGACAGCTCCTTGGTTCGGTAGGGGGTGGGGCGGACCTCTTATTGCGGATCCTAAGATGCCTTCCTACTCTGCGGGTACCCAGCTGCAGCCCACTAAACCCAGGAGGCGCCCTGGCCCGCGCTCGCCCCCCAGGGCCTCATGTCGGAACCACAGCCTGGCCTGGAGCCTCCCCAACATGGGCTGTACATGCTCTTCCTGCTTGTGCTGGTCTTCTTCCTCATGGGCCTGGTAGGCTTCATGATCTGCCACGTGCTCAAGAAGAAAGGCTACCGCTGCCGCACATCTAGGGGCTCAGAGCCTGATGATGCCCAGCTCCAGCCATGTGAGTGAGGAACCTAGAACCCTGATTAAGGCACCTTCCTCCCTCACCCTTATTCCCAAACTTTTTCTGCCTCCCTGGCCAACAGACCCAGCCCCAAATCCTGATGAAACCCAAAAGACAGCTTATGATGGGGTTTTTTTTTTTTTGAGAGTGCATGTAAAGTGACACCACCCTGAAATTGAAGCTAGAGAAGGGGGTCCACCATGGTAGCCCTGGGGGCCCATTTCTTCTCCTGCCTTTTCTGGCCCAATGCATGAAGACACATAGGTAAAGAGATACATCATTATAGTCATCACCCATGGGGGCATCGGGTCATATTCCCCCATAGCTGACTCATTTCCCACCTCCCTGCCAACCTCTTTCATCCTTCAGCTGAAGACGATGACGTGAATGAGGACACAGTAGAGAGGATTGTTCGCTGCATCATCCAGAACGAAGGTGGGTACAGGCCAAAAGCTTGTTCCTTCCCAAACTGACTTCCCCTTGCCCTGCCCTCCGCCTCCACTGACTCCTCCTTCTCCCTCTTCCGTCAGCCAATGCTGAGGCCTTGAAGGAGATGCTGGGGGACAGCGAAGGAGAAGGGACAGTGCAGCTCTCCAGGTGAGGGAGAAACAAGAGCCAGCATGACTTAGCTTACCGTGGAATACCCTCTCCTCTGATACTGCCTTCCCAAGCACCATGGGAGTTGAAGGGGGAGGGGTGGACAAGGCTAGCTAACCTATAGAAGAAGTTTTGTAGAAACCCTATCTCCCATCTAGACACCATCCATTCGCCTCTGGTGTCACTGTCTTTGGTTAAGCATTGCTCTCTTTAGTAAACAGGGGGGAGAGGAATTCACATGACCACTCATGGTTTAACACTAAATTTACTAAAGACAAAAGGATGTTGGAACCAGGAGAAGGTGGGGCTTGGGGGGGGCTTAAAGAGCCTGCTGAAAGAACAGAAGGAAATGGCAGGAAGGGAAATGGAAATATCATTTCTGCTCCCTTTCTTCCTGTGGCCCAGTGTGGATGCCACCTCCAGTCTGCAGGATGGAGCTCCTTCCCATCATCACACGGTGCATCTTGGCTCTGCAGCTCCTTGCATTCACTGTAGCCGCAACAAGAGACCCCCACTTGTCCGCCAGGGCCGCTCTAAGGAGGGAAAAGGCCGCCCCAGGCCCGGAGAGACCACTGTATTCTCAGTGGGCAGGTGGGAACACAGTAGTTCAAAAAAATGGAGGTTAAGTTGGTGCCCAGTAATCCTGTCTGCCAAAGGTGGGGCCCGATTCTTTCCTCTGAGCAACTGAGCAACTGCAGCAGGGTCAGGCTGCATTAAGTGTCCCACAGTTTCAGGTGGCTTCCCTACCCCAGGTTGGAGAAGTTGCCATCACCCCCAGGGAGGGCGGGTTAGGTGACACTTGAGCTGCAGTCCTAAGTCGCAGTGTTCTCTTCCCATCCAGATTCCGAGTGACACACATTGAGAAGCGCTATGGCCTACATGAACACCGGGATGGTTCCCCTACAGACAGAAGCTGGGGCTCTGGGGGGGTGCAGGAACCAGGGGCCAGTCAGGTAGCTGGGGGAGGGCAGCCTAGAACAGGGACAGCTGCCACTGAGAGGTTGCTCCCTGAGACACCATCCTCCCAGGCCGTAGTCACCCAGCCAGTGCAGAATGGAGGACTCAAGGATGATAGCCTAATCCCTAGTACACTTGAGGCAACCCCCGGAACCTCTGCAGAACTGACCCTGGGCACCAGAGGAAGAGGCCCAAGCCCAGGGCTGCCTAGTCAAGAAGCAAATGGACAGCCAAGCAAACTGGACACCTCAGGTCAGCAGGTATGAAGACATGGCCAGGGCTTCACTGGGCAGTGGTGGACACGTCTTACTGTCCCCATGCTGGGCAACACTGGTGACCCGCCCCCTGCCCCCACTGATACTTGCCCTTCTCTCAGGAGCCTCTACCGCCAGAAGCAGGGGGTATGTGAGGCGAGTCTCGATACCAGGTAACCTCATCCTCCCACCCTCTACCTAAACTCCCTGAACCCTCCCTACAAGCTTAGTGTGTGTTACAGACTCCTTGTGGTGGGCATAGAGGTCCTGCAGGGTTAGATGCAATCTGGGGAACGAGAGGATCAGAGCTGGAAGAGGAAGCAACACTGTCCCCACTCCTTCCTTGAAGCCTCAGTCTTCACTGTGCTGATATGCTGATGCATTGCCAGGGTATGGACAGCCGTGAAGGCTTCCCCTCCTCTGGACAGCACTGCTCCTCAGCTGAGGGACCAGCTCTACTTCTACCTGGAGTGACACGGCCCCAGGCTGAGAGACCTCAGGAGCAGTGCCTCCCAACGCCCATCCCCTCATTCTTTTTCCTTTCCCTACCGCCAACAGGTTGCCTGGCCTGCTTCCCCAAAACCTCACTCCACATGCAAGAGTGTGGCGGCTGGGACCAGGCCCCACCCGTGGTGGGCCCCAAAGCAATAGCACCTTAGGCTCCCTGCCCTCTTGGCACAAGAGGCCCAGGCCCCAGCTTGGACTTCATGCCTTTATTCACTGTCAATAAATCTGCTCAGACCATTACAGTTGCTTTGCATCCTGGCTTGAGCTCCTTCTGACTCCCGAGATCTGCTCCTCTCCTGGCTCCAGGCCTCATGACCCCGGCATTCAGGGCGGGCTTGGCCACCGAGGCAGAGTGAAGACATATGAGCCAGAGCTGTACAAGGCTTTAAGGAGTGGGTTCCAGCCCCAGAGGTTTTGGGATATTTTACCACCCTAGATATGGGGTGATGACAAAAAGTGAAAGGTATAGTTCCAGCCTAGAGTAACAGGAGAACAATGGGGGAAAGGAGTGGGTTCAAATCCCAGAAATGGGAACAGGGTCACTTTCTACCCCTGGACATGGGGAACACTGCAGGTTTTGCCTTTTTCGCTCCAGATCGTTGAGGGCTTGGTTTCTGTCAGCATGGAGATAGGGGCAGCAGCATTACTGGGGGGCAGTGACGCCATGGCCTTCAGGTGAGAGCATCTGGATGGCCAGGATCTGGGGCTTTGGCTGGTGGGGGAGGTGGTGGACGCATCTGCAAGGGACATACATAATTAGTGTTCCAGAGTCCCTCCTGGGAATATCCCTGCCCATTCCCTCAGCCCAGTAAACCAAACAGGACCCATAGGGATGAGCCTTCTGTACAGTCTTCCCCAAGGTGGAAGCCCTTACCGGCCTGAGTCGAGGCACCATCATGTCCAGGGGGCCTGGGCAGTCTAGGGCTTTGTCTAGAAATAGAAACTGAAAGTCAGTTCTCAAGCTTTGCTGGGCTCCATGCCGTATCTCCAGCACTTAGGATAGTGACACTCTATAAATACTTGTTGACTTAGCAAAAACAAAGAAAAATCACCAGCTTGAGCTATAAAATCCATTAGTCCATCCATCCTCTAATACTTAATGCAAGATTGCTCTGTACAAAGGATCAAAGAAAGGACGTGGAGTACAATGTTCCCTTCAAAATGGCTGCTGAGAATCCCCCCTCTCTCTCTGTCTCTGTCTCTGTCTCTCTCTCTCACACACACACACACAGAGAGAGAGAGAGAGAGAGAGAGAGAGAGAGAGAGAGAGAGAGAGACTGCCCAAGTACCAAGTACTACATCATTCAAAGTGAAGTAGGAGTGAGTGTTGGAAGAGACAGTGACTCTAGAGTCAGGGAGCATGATTTTCTGGAGGTGGACAAACTAGAATGTATTAGAAAAGCTGAGTGTTTTATGGTGAAAAATGAGGACATAACTTAGGCTTGCCTTGTATGAGCAAGATCCTAGTTTGGTCTCCAGCACCTCCAAATATATATAGAGAAATTAATCCAAAGATGGGTATTATATTTCAGAGTCCAAGGGCAGTAAAAGAAAAGGATACATTTTGGGAGAATGTGAGAATGCCGTGAGAAAAGACAACTAATTTTTAAAATAATAATGATCTAAAAGAGCCATATGCCAAGTACAGTATTGTATATTCTATTTTTTCCCGTCTTTCAAGACAGGGTTTCTCTGTGTAATAGCAGCCTTGGCTGTCCTGGAACTCACTTTGTAGACCAGGCTGGTCTCAGACTCTCAGAGACCCGCCTGCCTCTGCCTCTCGAGTGCTGGGATTAAAGGCGTGTGCCACCACTGCCCGTCGATGTTGAAACTCTCAGTTAACTCTTAGTTTTTTTCCTTATGTGTACAAGTGTTTTGCTTGCATGTATGTCTGTCAGATCCCTCAGATCCCTGGAGTTACTGATGGATGTAAGCTCCCATGTGGGCACTAGGAATCAAACTTGGGTCCTCTGCAAGAGCAACAAGGGTTCTTAACCACTGATACATCTCTCCAGCCCCTGATAACAACTTGATAAACCAGTGCCTTTTCCTTCACTTTATAAAGAATGTAAAGCAAACTAGGCGGGTGACTTCTAATCCCAACACATGGGAAAAGCTGGGGCATGGGGAGTTCAAGGCCAGCCCTTTCTCCAAAAAGAACAACAAGAGCACAACAAGAGAAAACCTAGACCAAGGGCCAGGCAGGTTAAAAACCCTCCACCTCAAATCATACAACAGAAAGGAACCTGGCTTCAAATCCAAGCTCTCCTCCCCACCAATATGCCACGGGCCTTCCTGCAAGGTACACCAGGGGCACACAGGAGCAGGTAAGGCTGAGTTCAAGCGTCTTCTTGTTGCTCATGCTCCAAGGCTCCAATTCTCCCTACTCACCTGCAGGCAGAACAGGTGCAGTGGATCCTTCCAAGGCACTGGTGGGTGCAGGAGGGGAAAAATTGGGAGGGGAAGGGGATGGCAGCGTCTGGAGACAGGGCAGGCACACAGTTATTCCTGGTCTGTGGGAAGGCTTAACAAGCCTTTCCTCTCACCCGACTCCTAGTTTCTCTCCCATTTATTCTCAATACCAAAAGCAGCCAAATGAAGCTTTGTTACTAACACATATGTCAATGTGTACAGAATAGGCATTCTTCTAACACGGCACATACACAAATTTATTCAGCTTTCACCACCACCCTGTGAGCTGTGTATTCTGACGGCTGCTACAGCACAAGTGAGATTCGGGTTGAGCCATCCGTCAGAATCATGCTTAGTGGCAGAGCACTGGCTGGAACCGGTGTGTTCTGACTTTCCTGACGATCCCTGCTGTGTCATTACACGGCAACACAAATTCAAACACTTCTTGTGTACCATGGGCTAAGGAGTTTACCTCTAACATCTTAGTCATGACAGAGAGCCCACTAAAGCTGCTCTTGCGTCTATTTTACACACGAAGAAGGCAGCTCAGAGAAGTTAAGTGACCACTCAATGTCATGCTACAGCAATTTGTACTCAGGCCTATCTGGCCCTAAAATTCCCAAACTCCTGTGAAGGGTGCCTTGGTTTCTCTTTTCTCTTCCCATCCAAAGCACACAGGGAGGCCTAAGCTACCACAGGAGTCACACCTGGGGAGGAAGCAGGACTTTAAGATAACATGGAGCACTGCTCAGCCCAGGGGCACTTGGGAAGTGAAGGAGAAAGACGCTTCACCTGTTCAGGGTCAGAGAGTTCAGGTGGCCCTGGGGGCCCAAGCAGTTCCTCCACCAGCAGGGATGGGAAGACTCCAACACGGCCCCCAAACTCTCCCCTCCAGAAGCCATCATCCACACCGTCTTGAGCCCTGGGCAGCAAGCGGATGAGTGCCCCTTCAGGGAAGCTTAGCTCCTCCTCACTCTGCCCGGTGTAGCTGTACAGGGCACGGGCCAGGAACGCTAAGGAGCCCAGGAGAGAGGATGAAATAAAGCAGGGGGCTGTGGTACAATAGTGCCAGTCACTCCACAGCATCCGGTAAGCTGTCTATACTCATGGTCCCTGAGTCCATACCTTCCTTTTCTTACCTGTGGGCTCTGCTCCTGAGGGATTGTGGCTCCCATGGTTGCTCTCAGGGAGGGAGAGATCCGGGAAGTTGAGATATCGCTCAGGAACAAAGCCTGCCTCGCCATGCTGGTTCCGAGCCTGCTCACCGAGCAATGTGAACAGGTATCAGACTCGCCCAGCAGTGTATGACCTTGGCTCTTAGCCACTCAAGTTTTCGACATTACCTGGACGAAGCCTTGAGAACCACACACAACCCAGGGTCCCATACTCACCTTAACCCATTCATCGGCATCTCCTTCCTCTATGACCTCCAGCCACTCACCCTCTGTGATAGTCAGCTCATCCTCACGTCCTGCCTAAACCCCACAAGGAAGGAGTCAAGATCTGCCCGGCCCCCACCCCATTCACCCATCTGAAGTTCCCATACTCATTCACACCTGGTAGCCAAACACCACATGCGCAGGACAGGGGAGGGATCTGGTAGCCAGGGCTGGGGGGGCAGGCTCTTCAAAGAGCTCCCCGGCCTCCTCACATTCATCAAAGTCAGAGAGCTCGGCATCCTCAGCCTGGCAGGGGTAGAAGACAGACACAGTCTCAAGTACTGCATGGATCTCCCATGCCCTCTCTTAGCTCTAAGGGACACTGGGAATCCTCCTTCAAGACAGTACCCCATAACCAATCACCATGTCTCACAACCAAAACCACCATAGGGCAAGATGATACTAAATAACAATTACAATTAGGTGTTTAATACAAAGTATCTTACATATATATTGTTTCATTTAAGCTTCAGTATAACCCAATGTTATTTTGCATAACTATATTAACTTCACACTACTTTGGAAACCGAGGCTCCTAAAGATTAAGTCATTTTCTAAGGTCACATGGCTATTAAGTGGAGTGGCTGGCACTCAATTAACTTCCAGTCTGCTCCCAGAACCATGGTGGGCTTGGGGGGGTTGTTTGGGGGGGCTAAGATGAGACAGGGTAGCCCTGGCTAACCTAGAACTCACTCTGTAGATCAGCTAGCCTCAAACTCACAAAGATCCACCTGCCTCTTCCTCCCAAGTGCTGGGATTAAAGGTGTATCATAAACCAGTGTGCCCAGAGAACCATGGTTCATAATCACCACATTAGACGTTTACTGAGGATTCTCCACACCAGAAACTATGCAGTATCATTTAAGCCTCATGGTAACCCTCTGAATTAGATATCATAATTTCCATATTAGAGGCTCTGCCTCCAACAAGGCATTTCAGCCTCTCCCAGGTGTGCATGGTTAGGGACAAGAAAGAACTCACCGTGGGAGAGAGGTCCCTCTGGGACAGCCGAGCCTCACTAAGCCGTCTCTCCTGCTCCACCTCATCCTGGGCCTGGGTCATGGCTGGCTTCAGCCAGCGCTGCACATCTAGACCAGCCTCCTGCAGCAGGGCCAGCCGGGCGGCCCCTTTCACCTGGCTCACCTGTGTGAGAGGAAGAGAGAGCATCCTGGTGAGCTGTGTGGTGAGCTGTGTCTACCCTCTGCTTCCCTGCTTTTCTCTGCCACAATGGAGGTGGGCTGCCTGAGGAGGCAGGATTTCAGTGGCTCACCTGTGCCCGTCGGATGCTCTCCCTCACTTCCTGTAGCCTCTGTTCTACGCCTGGGGCTTCTCGCTCCGGAGCCTGCTGACGCCTCTGCTCCAGTCGCTGCAGCACCTGGCGAGGATGGCAGAGGTGGGAGATGCTATGGGCCATAGCTTACTCTGAGCCTGGTCCTTTGCTGGCTGCATCGCCTGCATTGTGTCATCTGTCTTCCCTGTGAGGTAGGTATTTTTATTGGATCCATTTTAGTGATGAGGAAACCAAAGTCCAGAGAGATGAAGTCATTCCTTAGCCAGAGTCAGAGAACTCACCAGCGACAGGAGAGAATACAAACCCTCGTCTGTCTAGTTCCGAAAGCTGTGCTCTTGACTGCTGAATCACACTGCTATGTTAAAATTCCTTTCCCTCCCTTCCGATGGTCCCCATCTCTCGGCTTTTCTTACCCACCCCCAATACGTGTACCCCCTCTTCACCCGATGCCCATGATGCTGGATCTTGTAGTCCCGGGCAGCCCTGCTTGTCCAGCGCTGAACCTCTTTCTCCAGGCCACTCTCACCAGCCAAGCCTCCTGCTCCCCGCTCCAGGGCACACACCTGAAAAAGACAAAGAATACTTGACGTAAAAATCCTAGCCTTCCCACCAGTTCCTTTTCATCTTTTAAAATTTCTCTTTTAGATTTCTCTTATTTATTTTGTGTGTGTGAATGCTTTGCCTGCACATATGTCTGTCTGTACATCACATGTGCGCCTGGTGCCCGAGGTGATTGAGTCTCCAGGTGCATGTTGGGAATCAAGCCCGGGTCCTTTGCAAGAACAACAAGTACTCTTAACCACTGAGCCAACTCTCCGGCCCCTTCCTTCGTCATCTTAACTTCCAGTGTCAGGGACAAAGAGCACTCATGCAGACACAGGCCAAGGGATGGAATCAGAGTTGAGCGACAGAGGTGGAATGAAGAGAACAGGGACTGGACTTTGGTCTGAGGTGTGTTTGTGTTCAGATGGAGGTGAATGGGATTTTGAAACCCCCTGTCCAAGGCTAAATAGTCACCAGATCAACATTAGGAAAAGGACACTGAGACAAGGGACCTAAAACCATATTTATGTTTAGATGTGGCCTGTCTCCACGAGCAGGGTGATCTCACCTGATCCGTCCCTGCTGGCTGGAACTGCTGAGGTGGCGTGGGGGAAAAGACTCCAGGCCCCTGAAGAAACAGCTTCACATCCTGTTCCCAGTTTACCTACGGTTGGATAATACACAGTCACTCGCTTGCCATCCACCCAAGCCTGTCCCAGATTGAGCTGCACTGGGCGGGGAGGGGCTGTATCTGAAGAAAAGGACATAAAACATCACTGGGGAGCACTCACACCTCCAACCCTCACCTGAGAAGTTGCCTGTCCCCCATGGCGGGCATGTTCCAGGGCCATCTCTGCAGCTTCCAGCTCGGTGTGGCTTAATAATGTGAGGGGGTCCCTCAAGTATTCTGACAGCTCACTGACCAGGACCTGGAGAGAACCCAAGGTGCCATAACATATTAGGTACATACAGCCATTCTCCCAGGCCTCTAGTGCAGATTATCCATCCATGGATGGGACATGGACATGAGGGATAGGAGACAATGAATTTCTAATCATAGTCCACCATGTTTAAACCACTTCATGGTTTAAGATCTTCCACACCCATTCCCTTTGAACCTCATTAGTGTTATGATGTGGGGAAACTGGGATTAATTCTGATGAGGAGTGTGGAGTCAGATGTCTTGTGTGACACAGCCATCAAGAAGAAGAGCCGGAGCCCACACCCGCACGGTCCATTCACACTAAGCACTAGCACTAGTCAGCCTGGGAAAGAGAAGAAAGCAGGGGTGGCGTCTGCATTCACTGAGGCACTGGCCTTGAGCAGGTCTGGCAGCTCCTCTTGGTAGTAGTGGGCAAGGTGAGCATTGGTGGCCACCAAATTCAGCAGGTACTCATTGCGGGCTGTTCTCAACTGATGGGAATACTGGGCTGACTGGGCCGACAGCTAGGAAATGGAAGTAAGAGTCAACAGGGAGCCTTGAACCCTGGGAGTCCTTCCAAGGCCAACCTCAAACCCAGAACTTGAATGGCTCTCACGTTACTGAGTGTATACAACATGCCTCACAGTACACTGACACCTTTGCATGTAACACTGGCTTAAAAACCTTCTCATAGCATCTAAGTGCAGACTGTGCCTTCCTGTAGTTTACAGATCTCACATGAGCCGCCCCTGAAACGTCTCTGGCCCTTCCCATGTGCGTGTGCCTTGTTCTCTCGGATCTTTGAGCCAGAGTGACTCTCACCACCCCACCTCTTCAGAATGTTCCTCCCCCAGACCCCAGCATGGCCACCTCCTTGACACTCAGGCCTCCTGTACAGCGAGGTCTCCCTTCCAAATCTCACTCAACCCTTTTTCAAAGCACTTTTAATTGCATCTTTATCTGATTATTCACACACACTCATCTCAACCAAGCGTGGAGGATGGAACTCCACGAGTCCTGTCCTCACTGCATCCCCAGGGTGGAATACTGCCCGGCATGTAGAGGTACTCAGAAAGCACATATAAAGGAACAAAAAAGAAAGGTATTGTTTGCACTGTACAGATGAAGAAAATGAGGCTCAGAGAAACCAAGGAGCTGCATTACTGAGTGCTTACTACGTGCCTGGCAGTGAACCGCTGGGAAGTTTGGAAGCCTCTTATTTCTATGCCACTGGACCCCAAACCACTAGGGGAGGTAGCCTTTTCCTCCAAACCTTGGTACTCAGTTTCTGGAGGCTGGCCCGAGAGTGGAAGATCCCATGGTCACTTCTGTTCAGTCTGTGTGACAAAAAATTAGTCAGGAGTCAGGCACAGCTTTGAAACTTAGATTCTACCCCAGAGGCCTCCAGTCACACTCTGTGTGTACTACTTGGTCAGCGGAGAGCACACCTGGCCTGGACATCAGCTGCCTTCTCCTGTGCCAAGGCCCACACTCGCTCTCGCTGCCCATAGAGCTTCCGACTTCGGCTCAGTTCCCGGACGGACTGTAGCACCTCAGCCTGTGCCCGCTGGAGACTCTCTGTCCCCTAGTGGCAAAGAAACACAGAACCCTGAACAAAAGAAGCCACATCTAACCCTGAGCTGGAGGTTCCTTTACCCCATCCACTGAAACATACCTTCCTAAGCACCTGTTCCTTGGCACTCCTCCCCGTGCCCCCTGCGAGGTCACGGTATCTGTCAGACGCCTGGAGCCGGGTCTGGCCTCCAGCCACAGTGGCATCCAGTAGGCAGCGCCAGGCACCAAACACTGTCCTGCCCCTCCCCAGAGAAGGTCTGTGTTGAAAAGAGGAACACTCCACCGTTTCATGAGACCCCCCCACCGCAACACCATGGAGCCCATCAATCGATCAGCCCATTAGCTCAGCCACAGGATCACTCTCGCCCTCCACCCCCACCCACAGTGTCCTTGCTGGGTCAGCTCCTCTGCTGCTGCTGCGTCAGCGCTACCTGCAGCCCGCCTGTCTTTCCCTGTCATCAGGTCCTCATCTCCAGAGATCTCTGGGGCTGAGCTCCAGTCGACAACTCTGCAACTCACCTACTGGCGACCTCCCCACTGCGCTGCCCTTCCCTCTTCAGGAATGGCCCAGCCAGCTTCTGGAGTGCCTGGTGAGGAAACCACGACAAGTGCACATCCTTTGTGAAGACCCCCAACTGGAGGAGAGTCTGGAACCGGGGTCTATAATCATTCTTCAACTACACAACATTCCCCAAGCGCCTTGCGCTCACTAATTCATTTAATCCTTATAACCATATGTGGAGGTTGGGTATTATTACTATTCTCATTTTACAGAGAAAAAAGTTGAGGCCAAAAATACCAAATAACTTTTCCAAGATCTCACAGCTAAGTGAGTGGTAGAGCAGGGTTTTGACCCCGATCTGGATTCTAAATTGTTTGGTCTTTTTTTAAAAATAATTATAAAATAATCTTATTCCAATTAACTCACAAATAAAAGCATCACACTGTTAGTTAGGTTATTTGTTTTTTACCACAATCCCCCCTGATCACTGCTGCCTGTGTAAAGGAAACTACAAGACAGAAAGAAGTCCCATACCTGGCCATACTCCCGTTCAATGGCTGCCCTCTGCTTGCTGTAGGATCTGTGGAGGTTGGGAGTAGAATGGGGGTGACTGTTTTCTGCTGCTCTCCCACACTCAATCCTCTCCTCAGCTTGAGCAGGAGCAAGAGGGAACCAGCCCAGAGTGTGACCACATCCAGGGGGAATGGGTCTGAACGACCAGAGTCCTTGAGATCACCTCTGGCAGCTGATCACAGGTCAGCCTCCCCTTAGTGCTCAGAGCCCCAGCAGGACCCTCCCACCCCTGGAGGACCATCTGTGGGTCTGGAGGTGAGAGAGCCGACAGGGATCGGTGCCCGCCAGACTCCCAACAGGTCTGGGAGACGGAGGGGACTGTGCCCCAAGCTTGACCGTGCGGGTGAGGAGAGGGTGTGGGGTCAGATGGTTTGAGGAGGGGCTCTCTGTTTATGAATATAGAGGCCCAGCATCTGAAGAGGCGGGCCTAAGGTGAGGGTCATAAATGAGTAGGCCGGAAAGATCATCCTGACAACGCCCAACCCTGGCAGGCGTGTGCTGCGGAAGGAAGGATTGGTGCTCGCTCCTGTGAAGATGGAGCCTGTGAAGGTGAGGGGTCTGGAGCTACCTGATGTCCTCCAGGAGATCCGCCTCCCTCTGTTGCCGCGTCTGAAGGATGCTCAGCTGCTCCAAGAAGCGAAGTTTCACCTCCTGGGCCGGCTTCACCTGTAGGATTATAAGAGAAATTAAGATCCCCAGCCTAGTACCCCACTCCGGCGTGGGGACCGACAAAACACCTCCCAGGGAGCGGGAGGGGGCGGGGCCCGAGAGAGGCTGGGTTGTTTCCTCGATTTCTTCTGTGTTGGGCTTTGACCTCCTTGCCACTCCCTGTGTTCCACCCTGAGTCCAGCGCCCTTAGGCTCCCTCCGATCCCCAAGACCTCCAGGTATTCCCCTTTCCCGGGCAAATCTCACTTTCCGGGGCGGCGGCTGCATCTCGGATCCAGCAAAGGCAGCCAGACACTCCACTCCGGAACTCGGGGAGGCCCCGCCCACGGCAAGGCCCCGCCCCAGAGCTGGCCCGCCCCGCCCACGCTCGTCAGGCTGCGCGCCGGGCGCGGAAGCACACGGGGGCCGCGGAAGAACTGAACCTGTTATTGTTGCAAATACCCCGGAAGGGTCCCGGCCGCGGGACGGACGCAGCGTGAGCCTGGCGGTAGAGAGAACCTCGGGCTTTTGAGTCGAGACGCCCGGCTTCTATTTCTAGTATAGCCGCTGATTCAGCCTGTAATTATTTCTGATCATGCATTTACATATGCATGTCACCAGTCCCGATACTAAGTGCAGAAGACCAGGTGACCAGGGAAACTGAGTCACTGGACACCTGAGCGAAGATGCCTCTGACAAACAAAGGGAGACTGGTTTTCCTAATCCCTGCAGAACTGGAAATGCTAGCGTGAGAAATGCGCCTGGAGCACGCAGAAACCAGTCCAGAGGAGAAGACGGGTGCATCCAGGGCTCCAGTAGGCACTACTGGTATCAGTGAAGGGGTGTGTGACCTGGAAAGCCCCTGTCATTCATTTTGGATCTTTATGCCCCTAGTTTTAGCGCGCGCGCGTGTGTGTATGTGTGTGTGTGTACACATGCGTGCCAGCATAGGTCAGCGAACAGGGTCTCTATTGTTTTTCTGTGTATGCCAGGGTAGCCAGCTTACAAACTGCAGAGGATTCTACTAGCCCTGGAATTACAGGCACTGGCACTACAGTAAGTCCAGCTTTTTTATGGTTCTAGGGGTTTGAACTCAAGTCCTAACACTTACATAGCAAGTACCTTTATCCCCGATCCATTTCCCTAGCCCCTCAGCGTATATTAAATTCATTCTACCCCACAACCCTTCCATCAGTAAGATACAAGTTGTATTGCTGAACACAGACACACGGGGGTGGGGGTGACATTCCTAGTGATCTGTTTCCCTCAATTACAAGACCACCCCCCACTCCCAGACTTAATTATCAGTTTTCAGGTTTAACATCCAATCCAACCTTCTTACTTTCAGCTTCTTCCCACAACCCACCGTTCCTGCAGTGGCCAGTGACTGAAAGGAGAGCTAAGATAACAGCCTTTTATGCTTCAAATGTAACTGTTTCCAAGGAAAACCCAAATGCCTAAAATCCAAATAGAATACAGGCTACAAGGGTATGATGATTGGGCCCCTGGAAAAAGGATTCTCCTTTTGTCATTCTTGAAAGGACAAGGTCAAGGCTCCACATTGTCACCCACAACAACCTGAGGAGTCCCCCTAGACTTTTGTTTGTTTTTGTATTTTGAGGTAGGGTTTTCTGTGTAACTATGACTGTCCTGGGACTGACTTTGTAGACCAGGCTGGCCTCAAACTCACAGAGATCCGCCTGCCTCTGCCTAAGACGTCTTTTTCTTCTCTTTTGATAAGAGAGATTCGTGTGGTAGCTCCGGAGACAGAACTGTAATACAGTAAACCCAAAAGCCACCAGAGTTCCACAAGGGGTTTATTACATATTCTACTCTTGTCCATGGATTTCTAGTGAGAGAATTGCAGGTTTACAGCTAGCTGGTAAGGGAGAACGGCCTCAAGCCACTAACGGTTCCGGAATTCCCGCTGTGCTATTGGCAAAGGCTTTAGCCAGAAGCTCTGATGAAGGTCTCTCTCTGCTTTCTCATGTCCTCCAAAGTTTCCCTATTTTTTTTTTTTTATGTTTTTTGAGACAGAATGTAGCCTTGTATCGTTGGCCATCCTGGAACTCACTCTGTAGACTAGATTGGCTCCGAACTTGGTGCTCCACCTGCCTCTGCTCCTGAGTCGCCGTTCTGGATGCTTCGCTCTTTCTCTCTGCCCTGCCTCTCCCTCTGCCCAGGCTCTGCTCCAGCTGCTGTCACCCTCTCTCCAGCGCCCCCTCCCCCCATGGCTTTCACACCTGCTGCCTGCCTTTGTTTCCGCTCCTCCGAGGCTTGCCGGTCTACCCAGCTCTCACTCACAAGCTGTCACTTAGTTTCTTTGAAGTACTAAATTCACTTGTGTATATCTTCTGTCTCCTCTCTTCTGGCTCCATGAGAGCAAGGGCCCCATTTGTTTTGCTCATATTGTATTGCTGGACTGGCACCAGTTAGGTGCTCGATACATATTTGTTGAATGAATGAATATTGTTGGAAAATGAGCCTTTTGGTTCTGAAGTTTATTAATAGAGACCCATTCTTTTTTGGCTCCCCTCTGCCCCAGTTCCCAACCTCGATCGATCACCCCACTCTCGGGGCCGAGGGTAGTTTCAGTACATGGGAAGTGGAATAAGATAGATTTGGACGTCATGCATATCTCTAGCTTCCAAATGTATGTTTTTCTTTAATGCAGTACAAACATCCTTATTCCCCAAACCTCTCACTGAACCACTTTATCAAATATATAAAGCAGGAGCTGCTCTTATTGAGGAAAAATATTAGGGCTTATAGCTCAGAAGCAGAGTTTGCTGTTTGTTCCTCTCCTTATTTTAGTGACTTCCTAGTATAGACAGATGGGCTGGGCCACAAAGGGCCATGGTCTTCCCTGAGACACAGTCTCCAGGGGTCTCTGTTCAGTGCTCCTCCCACGGTACCACACTGGATTCCAGAGTCATCCATCCAGGGCAGAAGCAGCTCCCAGTGGTTTCTGCCATGCTGAGAGCCTGGCTTCTCCTTTGGTCACCCCACCTCCTCAACTGCTGGCCCTAGGGTCATGGGAGAGGCTGGGTTGGAAGTGTGGGGAGTTTGGGGAGGTAAACTGGGTGCCTGTGTTGGAATGCTGGCGGGGCTGGGGGCTTGGGGGCTGGTGGGCTGGGAAGGGCTTTCTGGACATGTGGCAGGCTCTCCCTTCCTCAGGATGAGGTTGTTGAGCTCCTGGAGCAGCTGTTCCTCCAGGGATCCCCGTGCCTGAGGACTGCTCTTTGAAGGGGGTCCTGGAGAAGAGTCGGGTGTCTTCTCCTCCTGGCCCAACATGCTTGCTTTGGAGACAGGGGTTTGGTCAAAGGACCTGTGGCTGGCAAGGGGTGTCTCTGGCTTGGCTGTCCACTCCCATGTGGAAGAGAAGGTGGTCGTATCCTTGGTAAGCTCAGGGAAAGCCCCGACCTCCTCATACACCGGCTCCTCCGGCTCCTCCTGCTCCTCTACAGACCCCTGGGGTGACTTCATTGGCTGGATGAGAATGGGGCACCAAGGATGGGCACAATGTTAGAGTCGCGGTATTATTAATCCTTAATCAAGTTCTCCCTCGACTCAGACTCTACAAAATACTTGGATGCACAACATCCCATGCAAGTGGGTCCTGCTATAGGAGAATGAGATGCGGAGGGTTTACGTTGCCCTGGGTCACACAGTAAGGAAATGATAGTTGGTGAGGCTTGAATTCGGATCTTTCTGGCTCCAGAACCCTTAAACCCTTTCCTCCTGTTTCTCAGATTTGTAACCACTCTCTCCTTTCCTCATCGTTATCACCCCTCACTGTCCTTTGTTACGTAGTAGCACCGATGGCCTTCATCAGGACACGGAGCGGAGCGAGCGCACCAGGGCGTAGGCGGCACAGAACGCACACAAAGCCAGGGCAAGCACGATACTCACGAAGAACATGGATAAGGTCCTCCGGTTATGTAGCCGCCGCTGGACACGGGCAGAGTGGGGGTGCGGGGAGGGAGAGACGGAGACACAGTGAGACAGCAGGAGATGCAGTAGGACGCGAGGGCACAAAGGACGTGAATGTGGACGGGGGTGGGGGGGCCGTGGGGAGTGGGCGGGCACCTGGCACGGAGGCACGCTGTTCCCTCCTGCAACATGACAAAGGCAAGGGCAGGATCAGGAGGTTAGGACACGCGGGGGCAGGGGCTCACCAGGGTCTGATTGGCAGAGAGAAGACTGGCTCCACTGTCATCTCCGCGGATGGGCAGCAAGGGCATAGTGCCAAACTTCTGACGAGCAAGGTCAGAGGAGGATCGCCGACGTAACACCACCGACTGCTGGTCATCGTGCTGAGGAGACAGTGAAGGGTTTGGCACGCGAGGACCTGGGAGGCACCGGGAGGCACCAGAAGCCCAGCCTTCAACCTGTTGCTTCTCACCTGGGCTTTAAGAATGCTTGTGGTCCAGTCCCACATCTCATCCTCGTCAGTGCAGGACAGACAGCTGTGGACAGAGTGATGATTCAGGAAATGTAGGGGGTCCTGGCACTAAGCATGGAGGAATGGAGAAGAGGACAGTGCAGGAAAGAGGACAGGGCAGGGCTAGGGAGAGCTTTCAGTCAGTATGAAGTACTTGCCATGCAAGAATAGGGACCGCATTGGGTTCCCCAGCACCCATGTCAAAAGAGGAGGAGGTTGGAGAGATGGCTCAGTGGTTAAGAGCACTGGCTGCTCTTCCAGAGGACCTGGGTTCAACTCAAAACACCTGTGTGGTGACTCATAACCATCTGTAATCCCAGTTCCAGGGGGTCTGATGCCCTCCTCTGGCCTCTGTGGACCCCAGACATGCACATGGTGCACAGATATAAATTCAGGCAAAATGGCCCAATACACATGCACTTTCTTGATTGAAAAGAAAAGCTGATGCAGGGATGGTGGCTAGTGCCTGTTATTCCCGAGCTGGGGCTTCCATCCTAGTCTAACTGGCAAGCCTCAGGTCCAAGTGAATGACACCTGAAGTTGACCTCTGATCTCTGCACTCAAGAACACACACACACACACACACACACACACACACACACACACACACACATGCACGCATGCATGGACACGAAATGGGGTGAAGAATGGGGTGGAGTCAGAGAAGCTAGGAAGCTAGGAGGTACTCACAGGTGCATCTTATCCAGTACCAAAGTGAAGCCCCACCTGAAAGGCAAAGGGAACCAGTGATAGGGTAACCAAAAACCAGAGAGGTAATGGCAAGAGAGCCCTAGGTCAGGACTAGGGAGGACCACTCACGGTGTTGGGGGTTTTAACTTCTTGCGGATTCCCAGGTAGACCTTGGCACCTTCCAGAGACCACTCGCGTTCTGGTTTAGAGCTCTGAGAGCATGAACAGAGGTGGCAGGA